CCACACACACACACACACACGCATGGGCACACACTCTCCACATTCTCTGGGTCCAGATTCCTTTCCTTCTAGGACAGTGATGCCACAAGCATTTCATTCACTTCTCTTTGCAGTCAAGCATGCGATGTGACTGAATGAAACGCTCCATCGTGGCCGACACTTCCGATGCATTAATCACTCCAAACCGTAAGAATTTACATCTAGCTACCACCACCACCTCTGGGAGGGGCAATAAAAATGCCCATAAAGTTTTTTCAAGATTTGCCAGGCAGAGGAATTAAGACCATCCAACAGAAGCATTACACACTTACATGTTGATTTGTTCACCATCTGATAACTTTTGAAGGAAGAACTTATTCATTCTTACCTTCTCCTTCAAGCTCTCCTGTGCGCCGGACAGGACGCCCACAAAGCCTTCCAGAGAGCTCAAGAACTCCTGCCGAATGCTGGATGCTTCCTGAAGACCCTCGAGCTCGCCCCAGCCATGGCTCGTGGCCCTGAGAGCGGGAATGAAGATGTCCGACAGCAAATGCCTCACGCTGTTGAGCAGGCCCCCATCCGCGGTATCTAACATATTAAAGCTCACCTCCTGGAACACAGGAGATCCCCTGCTGTAAAAATTATCTGCAATTGCAACATAGCTACTAGGTCATTTCTGAATGCTGCTCATTAACCAAATATCCCGCGTCGGTCAATGAAGACCAACCAAATGAGAAAAGCAAAACTGCTTACTCGGAACTTGCTATAGCAAGAGTCGGCCACCATCACCCGCATTTCGGAAGACACTTAAAAGCAGGCAGGGGAGCGGGAAAGCCTTCTAGTGGAGGAAAGAGAAGCTTTCAGGCATGTCCTGATTGGAGGCTGCTGGTGTGGGGGACCTGGAGGCGGCCCCTAGAAGTGGGGCATCCTGTGTGATCCGCGAGGGGTGCATATTTGGCTTTCTCCAGCCCCAGGGAAATAGGCTGGGGGTACGGACAAAAATTAGGGAGGCCGACAGTCACGAACCAAATGCTGGCACTACTGGCCAATTTGTCACAGCGACTCTTGTGCGGCTGCCCCGCAGGCTTCCTGCGACTCTGACAGTGCAGGCTGGCTCCCTGGATTGTTTCCTAGATAAGGGGGTTGGCTCCCTGGACAGGTTGCTGCCAGTTACAGGTCAAAATTCTGCTTTACGTGCGGTCTGGCCTTTGTTTGTATGTTCAGTCTCTCAATCCAGTAAATTATTTTTTGATGCCCTGGTTAAGACCTAAGCTTTATACTATTCCAAATCGCAATCATCAAAATAAAAACCTGAAATAAACAGAACACGACACATCTACCGGTTTACTTGCTCCAAGCAGATCATGCCCCCATCGAGGGCAGAGGAGACATGCACTTTATTTTGCACATACACAAAAAAATTATATATCCATTATTACAAATCTTACTTTAAATGTATGAAATTTGCCATTAAGTAAATAATGTACGGGCCATTATTTTTTAAAGGAAAGACTTCACTGTATCACACACACACACACACACACATGCACGCAAATACATATACATAATGTTATATCAATTTTTGTTAACAAACTGAATATTAAGTCCTATAACTCAACAGATTTAAAGGAAATGTCTTGTTTGCTATGAATGCTTTTAGAAATACTTCTTTGAAAGTAGTTTTAGATAGTTAATGAAAACAGTGGTTACCTCTATAGGGAAGGATTTTTTTTTTTTTGTAGAATTTACATGATTTTGGGTCATTTGGGGTAAAGGATTACTCCAGCCCCTTACCCTATGGATGTTCTCAGGGGTGACGGCTCTGGAAGGGTCAGTCCTGATGAAGAACACACATACTCCAGTAAGAGCCACATCTTTTCCCTCGGTCACAAACACCTTCGGTTTTTTAATCTTTTCAGAAAGAGAAGTCACTCCCCCTGGAGAGCCAAGTTGTCCTACAAATGCAAAAGAATTTCAGTTTCACAAATGCTACTTACGGTCCATATGGTTGTCTCTTGGAATGAGTTTCCTTGTTAAAATAGTGTCGCGTTGACTCATCCATGTGCCCTGGAAGGTCTGCTGCCTGGACAATCTCTAGCCTGAACCCTGAAGGGATCTAAAAGGAAGTGACTGTTTCCAGATCACAGGTGCATTTCAAAAAAGTGTTGCTCCAGCAAAAAACAGGAATGAGGGGCGGCTGGGGAGCTCAGTCAGTTAAGTGTCAGACTTCAATTCAGGTCAAGATCTCCCAGTTTGTGAGTTTGAGCCCCGTGTCAGGCTCTGTGCTTATAGCTCGGAGCCTGGAGCCTGCTTCGGATTCTGTGTCTCTCTCTCTCTGCCCCTTCCCTGCTCACACTCTGTCTCTCTCTCTCTCTCTCTCTCTCTCTCTCTCTCTCAAAAATAAATAAACATTAAACACACACACACACACACACACACACACACACACACACACACACAGGAATGAGAGAGTTTGGTCCAAAGCAGATTCTTGCTGAAGCTACAATAGTCATTTTCATCCACAACAGGCCACAATAGAGGCATGGGGGAGGAGCAAAGAGGGAGACAGTACCTGTTGCATGTGCTGGGTGTCAGCTCCTGTGCTTGGTACCTTATCTACATTATTAAAGTCACTACCACCTTAAAGGCAGCGGTAGCCTGTCCCATGTCACAGCCAACAGGTGGTAAGAGTTGAGATCAAAAAACTAGCCTTGACTATAGAACTCCAGACCCCTGCAGCCCCCTCAGTATCGTGCTAGAGTCAGGACACTGTAGAGCCAGGAGAGCAACGGGATGAAGGGCGTGGGCTCCAGAGTCAGACCCCCAAGGCGTGAGTCTCCTCCGCTGCCCTTCATGGCCATGTGACCTTGGGAAAGATACCTAGTCTTTCTGTGCCTCAGTCTTCTCATCTGAAAAATTCGAATAATACCCCTAGAAGCTAGCATCTGCAATTGTTGTGAGGATTAAATGAGTTAATACATGTGAAGCCCTTAGAAAAGCACATAAAAACACTAGGCCAATAAGCATTACCATTATTATTATTTGAAAATTGTATTTTCGGTCGTCGAAGCATGTAGCTCATTGAGTGGACCATTTATGCACACAGAGAGAGCCAGTGCCCTTGTCCGCCCATGGAAGTTGGAGCTCTCCAAGCAGATCGGTAGCTCAAGCAAGGTTATCAGGGGCGGGAGCACAGTGCCAAGGGAGGGACCTGGGGAAGAACGTGGACTGCAAGCTGAATCCTGAAACCCTGCAATTAGAACCTCTAGGAGGAACCTCCCCCACGCAACCAAGTTCTGCCCCCACGGTGCCGGGCTAGAGACTGGTGCTGGGGCTTTGGCAGCGAACCCGCCCAACAAAGATAACCAGCAGATATGCCTCACTGGGAAGACAACACGTCACCGCGGGATGTGCAGCGAACGCTCCCAAGGCCCACAAGAGCAAGGGCCTGGGGAATCAAGGTCAGCCAACTTGTGACAGTGCTAGTGCTGCTCGAGTAAAAGCTTTCCTGCCACCTCGTCCCTCTTGTGCCTGCCCTACCTCAAGCCAGAGCCGTGGTTTGCACAACGTGGACAGGAGCAGAAGGTTAACTTGAAGGAGCAGAGGAGGACCATATGCTTCTCTCCTCCTGCTACTACTGACCTTCAGCGGTCCCTGCTTGGAACCTTGGGGGATGGCGGAAGGAAGTGGGCGAGCCAGCAGTGAAGAAGATTTAACTTTAGATCAATTCATTTTGATCAACTGGATAGTTTTAGTTTCTGCACTGAGACAGTACTTGTAATGTGAAGCAACCATAGGAACATTTCCTATCTAAGAATATCCAGGAAAGTCATGGAATGGTCTCAGTGTTGATCCGGTCAAAAGGTTAAAGCCAGTCCCACGGTAAAGGTCTAAAGGGAGAGCGGGGAGCGAAATTAAATTATGTTTACATCCCGTGAATCTTCCTCGTTCACTGTTACATTTACACGAGAACCCTGAACTCCACCCAGTGCACATTTTGTAGATAACTCAACATCCCATTTGACTTTATGTTTGTCAGACTGGGATAGAATTAGAAATTTCTGTATTATTTTGATTTTTCGTTCAAAGTGTAATGGACTTTCTGGGTGCCTCAGTGGCTCAGTTGGTGAAGCGTCTGACTTTGGCTCAGCTAATGATCTATCTCACGGTTTGTGGGTTCAAGCCCCGTGTTGGGTTCTGTGCTGACAGCTCAGAGCCTGGAGCCTGCTTTGGATTATGTATCTCCCTCTTTTTCAGCCCCTGCCCCGCTCACACTCTGTCTCTCTCTCTCTCTCGCTCTCTCTCAAAAATAAATAAACACTAAAACAAAATTTTTTTTTTAAAGTGTAATGGACTTTCTGACCACAAAATATCAGAAGAATAATTCTAGGAAAATCCCAATCACTTAGAGTATGCATGCATAATTTTCCCAGTTTTTAAACAAAAGAGCATAGTCATACTATATGCCAACAGCAATAACTATTTTCCCTTCAAAAAGGTTATAAAAAGATGAATGTAATATTTTAATATAATCATAATATATTTGTTTGTGCCCCTAGCTTGGCTTTAAAATTATATGAATCCACATAAACGGAGAATGGGAGATGCCAGTTGAATCCACACAAAGATTTGCAAATTTTCTTAAGTGAAAATAACTGAACTTGTCATTCCACATTACTCGTTTGAATCATAGTCGGTAGAAAATAAACATAATGTGATATTTAACTAGACAACTCATTATGCTTATTGGCAACAATTCCTCTGTTAAAAATAAATGGTGCCTATATAGAAAAGAAACAGATGCCCATAAAAAGTTCTAGAACATCACTGCATAGAATGAACTAGGATGTAAGGAAAAGAAGTCTCAAAATGTAAACTACTTTATTATTCCTCAATTACCAGCACAGCCTGAAAAGGAAAGCAAAATATCTCAAATGAAGTTAGAACAGCCAGGCTAGACAGCCATCATTATCCATCCCTTTTCCTTGAGAACAAAATGGCACCTTGGCCTCACCCACCACACCTCACCACTGCCCCTTCGTCCCATCTCCCAGCGTGGATGTAAGGGGCCTGGTCAGCTCTGAGAGTGGCTTTCTGCTTCAAGCCATCCTCAGATGAATCTGGCAACACGTTTCTGGCTTACGTCGCATCAAATTCGGATACCTGTATCTGCTACCTCCACGTCCTGATAGTAGAACATAAGGTGACGAAAACCTCCAGCAACAAAAAGCTGATCTATTCTTTCAATCTGTGAAAAAAGAAAAGGCAAGGTCACAACTCCGTTCTGAATTAGAAACCATATTTCAGTCAGCATTTACTATCATCTTTCTTCTTCATATAAAACTGCATCTAATGCAAAGCATACAGAAGGCATCATGTATTTTTCAACCAATAAAACCACGAGAGAGTAAATGCCTCACCATAATAAAAATGTAGTTCAAAGAAGGAATCCAATCAGTCATCAAAATATTTTCTACATACATGTTTGAAAAGATTGTCCTTCCATTTTTGCTAATTTCCAAAAGTGTTGAGCTGTTGAAAGCAGATATAAATATAGTGTTTCATTTTCACTCAATTGCAGATCAGAAGGGAGAACAAACCTTTCAAAACCTAATCTAACACACTAGAGGTAATTAATAGTAAATTGGAGTAATCACTGGAAAATGCCATGAGAACACATATGATCATGGAACATTCCATCCAACACTAGTCCAGAACTCAGTCCCATCCATGAGGTTCACTACACAACCAGAGGTCTGCCAACCGGCCTACTACCAGAGGAAGCACTTTTTAAAATCTTTTTAAACGTTTATTTATTTATTTTGAGAGAAAGTGTGTGCATGCAAGCTGGGTAAGGGCTGATAGGGAGAGAGAGAACCCCAAGCAGGCTCCATGCCCGTGTAGAGCCCAACATAGGACTCGAACTCATGAACCGCGAGATCATGACCTGAACCGAAATCAAGAGTCAGATGCTTGGGGCGCCTGGGTGGCGCAGTCGGTTAAGCGTCCGACTTCAGCCAGGTCACGATCTCGCACTTCGTGAGTTCGAGCCCCGCGTCGGGCTCTGGGCTGATGGCTCAGAGCCTGGAGCCTGTTTCCGATTCTGTGTCTCCCTCTCTCTCTGCCCCTCCCCCGTTCATGCTCTGTCTCTCTCTGTCCCAAAAATAAATAAACGTTGAAAAAAAAAAAAAATTTTAAAAAAAAAGAGTCAGATGCTTAACCGACTGAGCCACCCAGGAGCCCCAGAAGCAATTTTCTTAAAGTCACTAGCACTGTTTTAAATTCAAATTGGAGGAAAAAGGATAAAATCTACATGCCCATTAGCATGGCTACTGTCAAAAAAAAAAAAAAAGAAAGAAAGAAAGAAAAAGATACATGTCAAGGATGTGGTGAAATTGAAACACTTGTATACCCTTGGTGAGAATGTAAAATGGTGCAGTCCCTATGAAAACAGTATGGGAATTTCTCACAATATTAATATATTCCTCCATGATCCAGAAATTCCACTCCAGGTATATACCCAAAAGAATTGAAAGGAGGGTCGTGCAAAGATATTTGCACACCTCTCCTCACAGCAGCATTATCCACAGTAGTAAAAAGATGGACACAACGCAACTGTTCATTAACAGATGAACGCATAAACAAAATGTGGCACAGAGATATGATGTATTATCATTCAGTCTTAAAAAGGGAAATTGACACAGGCTACAACACGGGTGAACCTTAAGGACATTTTGCTAAATAAAATAAGCCAGTCGCAAAAAGACAAATACTGTAGGATTCCACTTATATAAGGCATCTAAAGTAATCAAGTTCTTAGAGACAGAATGTGGGATGGTGGATTCCAGGGGCTGGGAGAGGCAGGGGGGAGCTGTTGTTTAATGGTATCGATTTTCAGTCTTGCAAGATGAAGAGATCTCAAGATGGGTTACACAACAGCGTGAATAAACTTCACACTACTGAACTGTTTACTTAAAAATGATTAAGATGAGGGGCGCCTGGGTGGCGCAGTCGGTTAAGCGTCCGACTTCAACCAGGTCATGATCTCACGGTCCGTGAGTTCGAGCCCCGCGTCGGGCTCTGGGCTGATGGCTCAGAGCCTGGAGCCTGTTTCCGATTCTGTGTCTCCCTCTCTCTCTGCCCCTCGCCCGTTCATGCTCTGTCTCTCTCTGTCCCAAAAATAAATAAACGTTGAAAAAAAAAATTTAAAAAAAAAATGATTAAGATGATAAACTTTACATTCTACGTTATTACCACAATTTAAATTTTTTTTTTCAAAGTTTATTTATTTTTGGGACAGAGAGAGACAGAGCATGAACGGGCGAGGGGCAGAGAGAGAGGGAGACACAGAATCGGAAACAGGCTCCAGGCTCACCACAATTTAAAATAAAACATTTGCGGGGTGCCTGGGTGGCTCAGTCGGTTGAGCATCCGACTTCGGCTCAGGTCAGGATCTCGCAGTTTGAGTTTGAGCCCCGCGTCGGGCTCTGTGCTGACCGCTCAGAGCCTGGAGCCTGTTTCACATTCTGTGTCTCCCTCTCTGCCTCTTCCCCACTCATGCTCTGTCTCTCTCTGTCTCTCAAAAATGAATAAACGTTAAAAAAAAATTTTTTTTAAATGTTTTCAAACAACAAAATCTAGCCTGAAATTTTAAGTGTGAAAAAAATAAGCCCCCTCCAATTTCCACCATATTATAGATAAAACTATTATACATAAGGGAAAGCAAGTTGCCCTGGCTCCTTCATGACTCTTCTTTGATTGAGAATGCTGTCGGGCTGAGTGGGACGCCCTCGTTAAGATTAACTTCCAAGCCAAGAATCTGAAGGAGATACTTCCAAAAGGCCAGTACTGAAACTCCTGCCCCTCTTCTTTGCTTGGGAGACTGAGCCAGGACGTTTTCTTTCAACCTCCAGGTTTTGACATTCCTGGTCCTGAATACGACACAACAGTTTGACCTGGGCTTCTTATAGTTCAGAACTTGTACTCGTTTATTCCCCTCGCATGATCCCAAATCCAGATGTCTGAATTAGGAAGAGGGGTAGAGTTAAGCATTTCACCTCTCCAAGACTGAATCAGTTAAGTGACTGTCTCGTTCTGTGCCTCCATTTTGGAGGAACAATATTATCTACCTCCTGGCATCATGAAAATTAAATGAGATAACAGATGAAAACCACTTAGATGAGACTGACACCTGGTAAATATTCAACAAATGTTAGCTGGAAGGAAAAGGAGAAGGGCATTTCCTCAACCTCTAATTAACTCATCCTGCAGTCTAGCCATTTTAGTGTTGTCCACCCCTCACTGTTCCACTGACTCCTACTGATCCCACCAGACTGACATGGCAGGCAGGAACAAAGCCACCGGAGAACTGGAGCCAACTCATACTGGTTCATGACAGCCATTTGATCACAACCGTTTCCAACTAAGCCTTCAGTAGCATCATGTTCATAGTCTGGAATCAGCCATTGTGGCAGTATTAACACCACAGAAATCAACACTCAAAATAGCGCCCCCCTCTACCCTCTTGCTCAAAGCTGGTTGTTAAACATTTACAGGTATACCACTAAAAAGCATTATCAAGAGTGTGCCACCCCCATCAACAGAAAGAATTCTCTCTCCCTCTCTCTCTCTCTCTTTTTTTTATGCTAATAAACCAAAACAAACAAACAAACAAAAACAAAAAAACCTTCAGGAACCATCATAGGGCTCCTGATATGCCTTCCTCAATGCTCATGAAATTATATCCTCCCATATTTTGATCTTCCCTCTGTAATCACACCCCAGATTTTGGAAGGAAATCACGGCAGAAAATGGAAGTCAAGCTCAGGAACAACAGAAACCAGATTCAGCTGCCAAAATTCAATCTCCCAGGTTAGAATAGGATAAACGCAAGACAAGATATATCAGAAGCTGAGAGAAGATTCTATGCTCCGACCTCAAGTTCCAAGATGGCACCCGAACCCAGCTTCACTGGATTCAGAAACAGGCAGACATTGCTGTCAGAACCATGGAACTTAAGTGACAGTTATAAGTACCCCCATTCAACATGAAGAGCTGGAGAGCCCTAACATCAATCTGCCACCACCTGTATGGTCAGAATGGAATCCTGTCCATGTTAGAACAGACACCCTCCTCTGCAGCCCAGCACAGATCCTGCCATAGGACAGAGGTCAATAGGTTCTCTGTGCCCTCCATAATCAAGTCTGGGAACACTCAAGTGCATCTCACCTGATTCCCCTCAAGAATGGCATCTTCCACTTCAGTTTTGTCCAGGTCCACACAGGAAGCTACGATTGCAAATAAGTAGTCATGTCTGCCATCCAAGCGTGCCCGTTTGGCTTCCTTCTCTTCCTTCAGTCTTTGCTGTAAGAAAGGACCAAAAATGGTATGTGACAACTACTGTTCTCAGATGTATTCATTTTGTAATAACCGCATGAGACTGTTGCTTTTTTCAGGTCTTGAGTACTCACATAACAGACACCTTAATGGTACCAGTTTTAATCTTCCATTTTTAGAAATAATGTTATTCTGTTATGAAAATAAGATGTGCTCATCGTTTTGGAATTGTGTAATACAGATAAGCTAAAAGAAAAAAAATAAAAATCATCTGCCATCCAGAAATTATTACTGCAATTATTTTGTTCTAAACCTTTAGATTTATTTCTATGCATATATAAACATTCAAAAGACACACAAAAAAAGAGATCCCCATTTTTGTAAACATTCCCCAAGCCTTTAAAGTAATATTGTTCCACATTATCTCCTACCTTTATTGTTTGTCTACAGATTCATATCTGGTCTTGAAATTGATTTCTGAATACTAGTGCTTACCTTTAAACTGATTGTTAATTACAATGCTAAGGCATGTGACCAATGTGGGCAGTTTGAAGCATATCCTTCCATATGCACTATGCTCATACAAACGTATGCAAATGTATACACACATCTGTATATTACACTATAAAATTTTCATACATATTCCCTTAATAATACACCACAGACCCTTTTCTACTTTAATACAGGCTATTCCTACCTGTGTGATAGCTGTAAACTATTCAACAATGTGGACGTACCATAATTGATTCAACCATTCTGCCACTGGTGGATATTCAGCTTCCAATTCATTTCTTGAATTAAGTACATTGCCTGAAATGCCAATGAGCAACACTGGGAAGAGAAAAGGTGGCCCCTCTTTCGTTCAACATACAGTTATTTAACCCCAATTATGTACCTGTGCTATAGAGGCAAATGCTACCCAATGACGTCAAAAAATCTCATAGCCTGTTTGGCAGGATCTGAGCGGAAAGTATAAGCATGACAGGATGATATTATGGTTGCCACCAGGGCATCAGATCAAGGCAGGGACCTTTATGGGTCTTCAGAGAAGTTGCAAAAAGGAGGGTCCCCCACTCCAGCCTGGGGCTGAGGTAGCGATGACAAAGAACATTTTGGGAAGAGGTGGGTTGAACCTAGAGTGGAAGGGCAGTTGGCCACAGTCCCAGAAGGGAGGCATTTCTGCACGTGCAAAGGCCAAGTGGCGTAGGAAAGCAGAGCACACTTTGGAAACCACAAGGTAGCCAGGTTGACTGAACTAAAAAGGACTAGAAAGACATAATGGGAAATGAGAAAGCAGTCCGATCATAAAATATCTTGTGGGCCACATTAGGGAGTTTAAGTGTTATCTGAAGTCCATGGAGAATCACGGACGGGTTTCAGATCAGGGGAGATGTTAGCCGTCCATGCTGCAACAAAAAAATCAGTCATTCTAGAATGGATAAAGAAGATGTGGTTTATATATACAATGGAATGGTACTTGGCATTGAGAAAGAATGAAATCATGCCATTTGCAGCAACGTGGATGGAACTGAAGGGTATTATGCTAAGTGAAATAAGTCAGGCAGAGAAAGACAGATACCATATGTTTTCACTCATATGTGGATCTTGAGAGACTTAACAGAAGACCATGGGGGAGGTGAAGGGGAAAAAAAAGTTACAGAGAGGGTGGGAGGCAAACCATAAGAGACTCTTAAAAACTGAGAACAAACTGAGGGTTGATGGGGGTGGAGGGAGGGGAAAGTAGGTGTTGGGCATTGAAGAGGGCACTTGTTGGGATGAGCACTGGATGTTGTATGGAAACCAATATGACAATAAATTATATTTTTAAAAATTAGTCATTCTGTCAGCAGTGTGGAATGTGGATTGGAGCGACGCAAGCCTGGAGGCAGGAAAGCCAGTCAAGTGGCTTATGGTGGCATTCCCAGAGCCCAGGATGCACAGACCATTGGGAATGTGGCTCTGGAACTCAAGGGGAAGTTGCACTGTAGATCCAGATGTAGATACAGGTTCTCAGTGCAGCACAATTGATATTACAGGCCAGATCTTTCTTGTTGTGAAGGGTAGTCCTGCACATTGTAGGGTGTTCAGCAGCACCCTTGGTCTCTTCCTTATGGATGCCAGGAACTCCCTACTACTGAGCTGTAAGAATGAAAAATGTCTCCAGACTGCCAAACATCCCGTGTGTGACAAAATCACTTCCTGCTGAGAATCACTGATACGATAGAGACAGAGACAGTCAAGACGGTATCTTTTGGGGTTACGCAGTGCACAACCTGCACGATTATGTTATCAGTCCTTTCATCCAGTAGGGGGTATGTGCGTACTAGATATTCAGTAGACACTTGTCAAATGAATAAATCGAACTTTAAACCATGAGTGCAGATATGATTTTCTAAGAAAGAAATGGAGAATGAAAAGCGAGGTGAAGAGCCTCGGGACGCACCAATATGCCAGGAGCAAGGAGGGAAAGAATAGCCCACGGAGACAAGTGAGGATAGTGGGCAGACAGGCAGAAAGGGAACGGGCAGGCCGCGCCACCAGTACACCACAGAGCCAATAGTGCTAATGCTATAGCGGAGCGGTGGGGTCAGTTAGGGTTTCCTTAGTAACTGATTGTGTTTACAAAAGGGGCTATAGCATCCCACAGCCCCTTGGCAAAAGGATCATGCCATTCACCTCTCCTCCTCTTGAAGGTGGCTGGCCCTGTGACCAGTTTTCACCAAAAGAACGTGGGGAAAAGTAAGACTGTAAACCTGCCTAAGCTAATCCTTAGGAGAGCTTCAGCTTCTGCCTTTGCCCTTGGAAATGCTCCCTGGGAACCCAGCTACCATGCTGTGACAAGTCCAAGCCACATGGGGAGACCACATGGAAGAAAAACCAAGGCATTCTGGTCAATAGCCCCAGCCAACCCAGCCAACACCCCAGAACCAACTTCCCTCCAGGTGAGTAAGCTATCTCAGACATTCCAACCTAATCAAGCCCACAGAGGATTGCAACCCAGCCCAATGCCACTCGAAGCAGAACCACCCAGTTGAGCCCAATCGCTGATATACTCAAGACAGATAATAAGGGGCTGCTGTCTCTGCTATAAGCCATTATGATCTCATGTGGTCTGTTATTGCAGCAGTAGATAACAAGGTAATCCTTGTAGAATAATTTCACTGGTTGGACAGAAAGCAAATGGATGTAGGCTTGAGAAAAAGGGGACTGAGAAAAGAGAAATACAAAGATACTGAATATAAACTATTCTTTCCAGAAACTTGACTATAAAGGAAAGAGGTGTGGTAGTAGTAGATAGAGGGGAATTTACAGTCAAGGAAGAACTTTTTAAGACACACACACACACCAAACAAACAAACAAACACCTTCAAAAACAGTGAAGAGGAAAAGGTGGGGGATTTCAGAGGGCTTGAAAGGCCATCTCTGGACCCATGCAATTAACATTTGTTTTCCAGAACCTGAGGTGCCTGCTGGAAAGAACTGGAGGTGGAAGGAGGAGGGATTAGGGATTTTTAAAATTTATAATATACCTATTTTCTTGCCATTTCTCTCTATAGGAACTAACACAGGTCCTGACACAAAGTATACATTCCATAAACATCAAACAGAAGCAAATTTACATCTCCTTTTATTTATTTATTTTTTTTAATTTTTTTTTTTTTCCAACGTTTATTTATTTTTGGGACAGAGAGAGACAGAGCATGAACGGGGGAGGGGCAGAGAGAGAGGGAGACACAGAATCAGAAACAGGCTCCAGGCTCCGAGCCATCAGCCCAGAACCTGACGCGGGGCTCGAACTCCCGGACCGCGAGATCGTGACCTGGCTGAAGTCGGACGCTTAACCGACTGCGCCACCCAGGCGCCCCTACATCTCCTTTTAAATGTGGCTACAACAAGGAAGGTGTCCTGTTGTTTAGACTGTTTTCTTCCTGCTTGGCAGGGAGGAATAAAGTGCTTCTCAAAGCGAACTCTATGAGTTTGTACTAAATGGCTTCAGCAGCTTGAGGACATGGTGGGCAACCAGGGGAGCCAGAAATCAGGCATCAAAACAACCATCTTGCGGCAAATGCTGGGGAGTGACAAAGAAAGAAAAGAACTAGAAAACCAGGAAAGTCAGGATGTAAAGCCACTGAAGCCTTCCGAAGAATAGAGGAACTTAAATAAGACTCTGCCATGGCAACACATTCTCTATGACCTGATTTTATGAGACTCCAAAGGGGAAAAAAATATATATATATGTATATACATATATATACATATATATATATTCTAGTGGAGGAAAGGAGTGATTGGTCCCTAAAACAGAACGCTAATGATTCTATTTTTACTTAAATATCACAGAGGAAGAAAAATTCCAAAGAAGCGTCATGTGTACACAGCGAATTATCAATGTGTTTTTAAAGTCAATGTTTTCTGAGCTGCACGAAAAAGCATGTTAAGCAACGAATATGTTCTTGCATAAACTGATCGTTGGTTCTATCTTTGCTGAACAATGAGGAAATTGTTTTTTATCTACCACAAGAAGTCAGTAACATCAAACAAACATTTAGTGACCAGACCAGGGCATTGTCAGCCCATAAACTTAAACCTGGAGCTTTCTGGCTGCTAGGGAATAGCAGCAACAAGCAGTCAGGTGACAAGCTGTCTGGAGGTGGCTGTCCTGTTGGGCTTTGAAACATGGAGGGCAACTGGGGAGGGATTAAGATGGCAACAGGCGGACAACGGAATGGCTTTTTTTGGAGTCACATTAAAATTGTTTCCTGTTGCATGAACAAGCACCGAGGGATGGGGGCGGGGGGGGGGATGGGAGGAGGGGGCTGGGAAACCTATTCAACGTCCACAGAAATCTCGAAAGTAGTAAAACACTTCTGCAATGTGGTGGCAAGCTATGTCGCTGCCATCCTTGGAGAAAAGAGTCACTAATGTGCTAACTCACAAGAAACAAGTGCTGCTTTCAAGGCTGGACAATTCTGCGTGGACAAATGAGCCCTGGTCCCGATCTTAGGTTCCTGTCCCAGCTCTGTCACTTGCATCTGTCAGTCAACCTGCCCAGGCTTCAGTTTCCAGAACTGCAGACTCGAAGTGTTAGACTAGGGATGCCTGGGTGGCTCAGTGGGTTAAGCAGCTGACTTCAGCTCAGGTCATGATCTCACGGTTTGTGAGTTCGAGTCCGGCTCACAGTGCAGAGCCTGCTTCAGGAGCTCTGTCTTCCTCACTCTCTCTCTGACCCTCCTCCACTCATGCGCTTGCTCTCTCTCTCTCTCTCTCTCTCTCTCTC